CTTTTGAACTGAGTAATTGTGAACATGCCAATGCTTCAGTCTTGTAGCTTGAGGTGCTTACTGGACCTCAGGTTCTCAAAGCCCTTGAACAATCTCTGAGCAAATAGTCAAGACTTTGTTGCACTAACACAATACAGCAATGAAATGGAAATCTCAATCTGTGTAAAAGAACCTGGAGATATGCTGGAAAATGCAAGGCCCCACATTCAGCCTGTGGTTTGTAACCAAAAACAGTGGTCAGAGAAAAAATTGCATCCCCTTGCTCAGCAAAAAAGATTTATCAGGGCTGAATCTATCTCAAGATTACCACTATAGCACCTGGAAAATATAAAAAAAATTTTTGAATATCAAGACCAGAGACTGCATGTTAATTAGAATGAAATTACAAAGTAACAGATACAGCATTCCAAAAATGCTGGCAATGACAGAGAATCTGTGTCTGCAGCCTTTGGGACCTTGCTGTTAATTGATTATTTCAATTATCTAGGTAAGAAAGAAGTCTAGAATAAAAGTATGTGAAAACATGAAGGAATTTATCTTTTGATTAGTGCCATTGATTACTGGCTGGTTCAAATGGAACATTTGTTACCTAAACTGAATTATTAAACTTGGTTTAATAGTTCTAAATACCCAATTCTGCATGGGTTTAGCCTACTTGGTTTATATGTATTGTGCAATTAATACAGTTTTGCTTGGTCTATGTGGAATTGAATTACATTGCTTAACAAAATAATATACATTAGTGTATTTGCATATTCATATGTGTATTTTATTGCCATTTTTAAAAAATAGTGTAGTCAATTTTTAGGACTATACTGTAATTCCATAAGCAGTAATTTGACTAGATATTTATACATGTAAGTTAATTATTTGGAATAATAATTAGGAAAAAATATAGTAAAGAAGCCTTCATAAAGAGATGCTATTTGCTTTTTATTATTTAAAGCCCAATGGTAGATTTGAGACCTATTATCTTAGGCATTTTGTATATATTTACTGCTAAAGCTGCTGTTATTTCTTCCAGCTTTCAGACAAATTTTTAGTGTCGTCTTCTGAACTGAAAAAATAATTGAGGTATAAAATAATTAAGGTATAAAATTAATTCAATACTTTGCTATTCTGGAAAGGGATTAAAATTTATGTATTATGCACTAGATTTCTTTTCAGTTTCTGTTCTTAGGGGAAGGAAACTGGGTGGGGGAAAAGGAGACAGGGAGGCTACTAAGGTGTAGGAAGGAAATCCTCTTCAATGAGCCTGAGTAAACTTACTGGCTGGGGGAACTGTGTGCCTGGTACATCTCTTATTGCTGAAAAGTTTTAGCTGTTTCTGTACTATACCCATGCAATCCACTGGGTATCTTTTGATACTAAAACTATTCATAGGTCATATAACTTAAGAATGTTAAGGAAGTTGTTGCTAGGCACAGACTAAGTGGAATACCACTGAATTCACTGAGTCCCATGTAAGATATTCAGATGAAAATAGCAGTTTGTACTTCTTGTAGTTGCTGTAAGAATTTTAAATCTGAAATTTGTTAATAAGAAGTTATTGATGCCTTGAAATATTTAATATAAGATTGGCATCCTGTTCTGCTTATTGGGTATCAGTCACATTCTGAGCCGTTGTATGAACCACTGCTGTTTAGTCTGAGTTTAATGTTTAAATTATTACTGCTCAATTCTTGTGTGAATAATAACTTCTTAAAATAACAGGGGTAGTCCACCAACTCAAAGGTGGCAAGTATGGCTGGCAAACTGAATTTTTTAGTTTTTAAACCGGTTGCAGGCTGTGTTGACCAGGAAAATCTGAGCCATGTGGGTAAATGATTGGTTATGTTCCCATGATTTTCTCACAGGTTATGATCAACTTCCAGATAGACTAGAAGAAAAAACCACCATCTTGTTATAAATTAACAAGTCTGTTATGAGTCTACAAAATGGTAGTAGAAGTCAAGCGTACTCTGGAAGTAGGCAGTATGTCTTCAGGCTCTGAAGGGCTATTACAGGATAATAAGGAGCTTTTTGCTGCAAGGTTGTGCCTTAACTAAATGGTTTGTCTCCTAAAGTAAATAAAAGGTATGCCACCCCAAATAGACAACAAATGGTTCCTTGAGGCTTTGATGGAAGAATTAATTTCTTTTTCTTTATGTAGCAAAGGTTTGAAACTTCTCACTTGGAATGCTCTTTATGGCTCAATCTCTCTTTTATTTTATTTTTTTAATATTTAATTGTGTTGTTCTTCAAAGACTGCCGTGGCAGTGGTGAGGGGAAGAATTGGCAAAGGGCAAGAGATATTAAACTTAAAGGAAATTACAGTTTTTGCTAATTATCATGGCAACAAAGGAGTAATGAATCCCGGTGAGGAGGCAAAGGGGTGGAGGACGTTGGTGTGCACTTGCAGCATTATTGCTGAGCTGTGCTGTGACATTAGGCAAGTCATTCTGAGAGCTCAGCTCTCTTATTTCCTGATTATATGTTTTCGGAAAATAGTACTTAGAACAGCCCTGGGAATCTAACTAATGCTCTCTGCTTGGGTGGGATTTTTTGTGTTCCTGAGTTCATTTTTGGTTCATGTCCGTGGAAGAGCTCTGCCCACAATTGGGCCATCAGAGCAGGGAATCAGCTAGACTGTCATCATTGACATCCTTGGAGGGGGAGCAGCTCTGTCAAGCCCTTGTTCTTGCCATGATTGACAGTGGCTGCTCTAATTTGTTTAGTCCCAGTCCTGTGATTTATCCCTTTATAAAGAGCAAGTGAACTCTTGAGAGCAGAGGGAGACTGTTCCCCTGGAGGAAGTGCTTAAGAAAGAAAAACCAGGGGAGGCTTTTCTTTGTCACTTTATCATGCCTGCTGTTTTTGGTGCAGTTGAAGGGGCTGTAGGAAAGGGAAGGCAAGGGGGGGGCTCACAGGCGCTTTGGGAGGGCAGCTGGGAGCCCTCAGCTCAAGTGGACGAGAAGAGGGGTTGCTTTGTGGAGCAGAATGTACATCAGCCTTGCAGAACAGAGAGGATAGATGGATCATGGTTTGCCTCCACTTGGAACATTACTCAGGTGGTGAAGAACTTCCTGAAAAGCAGTAATAAGCAGGAGGAGAGTTGAATACAACTTTTTTTTTTTTGGTCTCTCTTACACAGTTCTTCAGCTCTTCAGTTTAGAAAATTGTGCTTGTGTTTGTGTTTGTTAATTCCAAATCAAATGAATTTGTTTCTTGACGAAGGCTGTGAGTCACTATGTTTTTGCAGGCAATCTCCCAGGATTTCAGATCACACATAAATTACTGCACAAGATGTAGGAGATGCTCAATTAGCACAAATTCATTGCTCCTTGCTAGTGTAGCTTATAAAAGGATGCTCAGCATTAATATCAATGTGGATTCAGTTGGTCAGCTGTAGTATAGATGATAATTTTAAGGTGGAGAACAAACCTGTGTAGTCCAACCTTTTTACCTTTTGCCTTAAGTGGCATGAAAGCTTTTAGCTATTGCTTAAAAATTGCAAGGATTGTTCTTCTGGATGTTTTCACCAAATTCTTTTGTTACATGAACATACAATATGTAAACAAAGTATGTTGTGCATTCTCTGAGTTTAAGATACCATTTGATGAAGCTTGAGTGCTAATAGCATCTTCATTTTAAAAGGGAGCAAAAATCTAGTAACAGCATTAGCAGTGGCTTCTGTATCTCATAAGAAGTCTCTGGTGCTGATGGTAAGTCAGGGAAAGAATGCAAGAAAAAGTCCTTGTGTTGCCTATATGTTGTTTGCGAAAGAGTAGAAAACAAAATTTGAAGAAATAATTGTTCCAAATGGTTGAATAGGTGCAAGTGGTGAGTAGGAATAAGAGGTGACATCTATTGTGATGGGAAAATACTTTAAAGAATTAGAATGAACATAAAAAATACACGGTTGGAACTGAAGTCAAGAAAGGGTTTTACTAGTTTAATGTATCCTGCTGTCATAGTTCTCTACTTTCTATACAGCAGATTGCTGTGCAGAGATCTCCCAGACAGTTCAATGCTATTGGACAATAATCTGGCCTCTTTCACTCTGATTTGTTATGTTATATTAGTGTTGGGAGCATGTGCAGTGCATAGGGTGCCAGCATCCTTCCCGTGCAATGTCTAAGGATTTACTTTCCTGTGGATGGACTGAAAAATTGAGCCCTGCAATATTGCTTCTTGATCAGCAAAAAAAATGCCAGCTGGAGTAGGCATTGTATTAGCTTTGGTTAGGTATTGGTGACTGTGGAGAAAATCTGTGATACCACATTAAAAGAAATGACCATAAAATAAAATACACATGGACAGAAGATGGATAATTGTTATCCCTGTCTGTAGACCTGTCTTATCTGTCTATAGTTAAGACTTGGCAAACAAATGGTAATGGGGACCTAAGCAGCTACACTTAAGAGTCAGGTTTCTTTTCTGTCTATATAAGCCTTTGCCACGCACATAAGTACTTAAAAATTGACAAGTTGATAATTCATGCCTGAATTTCCTGTTTATGGTAAATTTGTATCTCTTTATCCTTTTGATAAATAAAACAATAAATCTCTCTTCAAAGTATATTAGTAAGGGCAGGCAGTGCTCAGAATTCCAAAATTTAATAAAAAAACATGCACGGATACTTTTATGTTGTGCTAAAAATAACATTTTTATTCTTCATAAAAAATTATGCTTAAACTTGGAAAGGCACAAAACCACCACTGAACAGTATATAAAAAAAAAAAAGGTAGATGGTATTACTTGTACTTCTGGGTTTTTTTGTTAAATATTTGAGGTCCTCTAAAAAGACAATGGTGACAAACATGTTTCAGGTTGGACAGTTGTTTCATAATGTTTCTCACTGGTCTAATGTTAGCAGAAAGCTTTTATGTAGCTCCTCCTTAAGCATGTTTTCAGATCTGATTGGAAATAATTTTGTGCAGAGCAATTTGGCTGAAACATTTGTCTAAATGTTTCTAATGCTTCTTTTCTTTCTTTTTTTGTTTTTTAATCTATACTAGGATGTTTTGAATAACTTGGGTTCCTGTGAGTTGGATGAAGATGACCTAATGCTTGACTTGGAGTTCCTGGAAGAACAACATCACCAGCGTTCTGGTAAGTCAGATAAATGCTGTCTGTCTTCAGTGAGGTAATGTTATTCTTGGAATAAAAAGTAAATATGTTTAGTACAGTTACTTGGAAATAAAAAGGAGTCATTTTCTTGGAAGGATTAGAGTGGTATTATTTTTTTAGAGTTATTTCTAAATTTGTTTGTAATTAATCAGAAAAATGCTGTTTACATAGCATTTGGACTTCATATAGTCAGTTATGAAATGTGATTTCTACAGCTACAGAATTTCAGTACCAAGGGCAGACCCATCTGTTTTGCTAAATACTTAAAATGATTGCTGCCTACCCCAGGCACTTAACAAAAGAATATCAGTGGAATAATTGTGATCACATTTTGTATGTGCCAGAATAATATTTTTCAAATAAAGGAGGTATTACTTGAAACATGAGTGTAACTTGATGTTTTCTCTCATGTTTGGTTAAAGCCTTGTTGCACTGCCTTGATTAATAGCAATAAACTATTGCTATATACTGTGCTTGTTACCATTTTATAATAGAATTATGCAAGGTAAATTGTGGGACATGTGAAGAGCAATTTCCTTTACTGGGATGTGGACAGCAGGGCCTTGTCTATGAACAGCAGTCCTGCTAACTCAGCAGAATTTGGAGAGTCTTCAAAGAGATGTAGGACTTGTGCTTGACCCCAGGCAGAGTTCTGGGTTTGTACTCTGCTGTGGTGCTCTATTCTGACAGTGTTGTGTGTTGAAGCATGAGGAATTCTCACCTTCTCTTATACCTGCTGCTCCCTGGTCCCAGTTTCTCCATTCACCCAAATAGATGTCCATGTTCTGCACATTCTTGCAGACTTAGTGGAAGTGGGGTTTTTTGAGACATGTGCTGGCTGGTGTGGACCATCTTCAGTCCTGGTCCCTTCTTAGAGGCAAATTTAGTAATGGTTGCAGATAAACTGCTTCAGTTGTGCTCCTGTTTTATATTTTCTGTGTATGGTTATTCTGTGAACATACCTGAATTATCTCAATGATAATTTTGTTTAACAATTGTACCATGCTTTTAAACCTGTTTGCATATCTACCTATAGGATGAAATATCTGTTCTGTTTGCTTAGGTAGGGAGTATGGATGGTTGCAGCAGTAATGTGTGCATGATTAAAGTTTTCTAAATTACTGGAAGCTAAACTCCACAGAAAAGGCCCTTTCTAACACATTCTGAATATTACTATTAACTTTTTACAGAAAGTTGAATGATTGGTTAAGGAAATGTGGTTTCAGAAACAAACATTACATTTTATAAGAAACTATATGGGGTTCAGACTTATTTATTCCCTGGACTGGTTGGAAAGAAATGAACTGGCAGAACTGTTTTCCATAAATAAACATCCCTGATGTGTTGCACTTGGTCTGAACTTTGTTTTCCTTCTTTTTTTTTACAAAGCACTGAATTAACAGCGAAAGAAGAGTTATGTCCAGTATATGATGACAAAAATTTTGTAGCAGCTTCTAGAACAGCGAAAATAATAATGTCTGAATGACATACTTGATAGAGAAGTAATTAAGATGAAGGTGTGATATGGCAAATAATCTCCCTGCTCTTGCCTCATTATCCAGAGTAAATGAGATGCTTTTGAAGCAGAGATCTACATTGTCCTCTGAAGTATGGTGACCATTTCTATTCTGAGCAATAATGTAGAGACACACACTGCAGAATGCAAATTTTCTTTAAACAGAAATGTGTTTATTTTAGTAATATTTGCTCTTTGGCTTTATTTGTTTGATGGTGAATCCAGCTGGGAAAAAATTTAAGATTTCCCTAGCTGTCACTCTTTTTTAAAGTCATTCGCTTGTAAGAAAGATTTGGAAGGACGGAGCCACAGTACGGTTTGACTCAATTTCACCAAATAAAGCTGATGTCTTTATTTTGTGTGAGGATCTGGCCCAAAATGGTTCATGTGGTAGTCAGTCATCACCTTAATTTACACTGAGATATGAGGCAGTATGCTTGATTTTTAGTGATTTAGCATTTGAACACCACTGAAGTACATAAACGCCTTGAATTAGAGACTGACATTTCAACACTCTTAACAAATTCCTTTTCTGATTCCTCTGTTAAGTTATGGCCAGCTTCCAGGACTTAAGACTTTTCAACAAAAATTCTTTTCAGGAATTCCAAGTCAATATGTTCTCTGTTTTCACTTCTGAATTTGCTTGTTTTTTTCCAAGAGGCATCTCTATTCATACCTAAATAGAATTCCAAACTTGTTCAATTAAATTACATTATCAAATATTTTGGTGCAATTTGTTCTACAGGCACCGGAATACATCAAGTGATCATGTTAAAGATATAGAGTTAATTTAATGCAGAGCTTTACAGTTTCATAAATTCGTCAGATTGGAATTGATTATATTTATGGGCATGCACATATAAGGTCTTTCAGGTAATTGGGAGTCAATATGTTTTAAAGATTTTTAATTTTGCCTGCTTCTGAAACAAGAAGACAGCAGAATTGCACATGGAGGATGAGCCTGTACTGTTACTGTAGAACATACTATTTTAATAGAATTTGAATTAAACCAAAGAACTGTTTAATTCTTCAAGTATGTGACTGGCCTGAAAAGTAGATGATTTTCTGTAATTTTTGCCAGTTGCAGGTTTGTTGAACTCTTTGTGAAGGCTTCTTTAAAACTATGGGCTTGCGAGTTTACCTATGGCTCACTTCAGTAAAATTCAGTCAAGACAGTTGCAGACTTACAGATTTGTGAGCCTCATTTAGTTAGAGATTAGGCAGATGTGCTGCCTCTTCTGTAGAAGATTCAGCCCTATATTGCATCAGCTTTACATATCTAATCCATTTTATTACAGTATTTGTTCACCTTTCTAACAAGTTCCTCATGTTTCTCTAATAGTTGCAGGGGATCCGTGACATTCACACATTTCATACTGAAGTCAACTGAGAGTTAATGCATGTGTTCTTAGTCTTATCAAAAAAGGTGTTCATGAATATAAAAATACTGCTTTTTGAATAGAAACATTAAAATTATGCTCTTCTGCAAGGCAAAGGTATCAGCAGTACTGTCACTATTTGTAGTACAGTAAAAATCCTATTGATGTTCTATGTTCTGATGCTGATTGCAGCATTTATTTGGTTAAAGCCATGAGTACTAGAGATATATTGCCATTCACCTGTGTTCCATTGGGCTTTTGATGAACAATTATGTAGGGAATTACTATGGGGAGAAATGTTCCAAGAGAAGCTCTGTTCAGTATTTTAACAAATAGATGGAAATATGAAGCGGTATAATTGGGAAATTATTCACTTCTTTCTTCAATTGTTACAGAGGGATAATGAAGGAATAGCTAGGAATAACTATTATTTAAAAGGCTATGAAAATTTCTAATGACAAATTGCATTAATACAAGGGCTAACATCACATTTCTAACTTTAATATCAAATATTATGCCTTGGTGAGGAGGCTGTGTACATCAAGCTGTATTATTTAGACTTAACAATTCTGAAGGGTACTGCCCCAGTTAATAAACACTATTGATGAGCTGATTAATGAAGGGTACTGTCCCAGTTAATAAACACTATTTATGAGCTAATTAATGGCAAATTGAGAAATTCTCTTAAATGCCATTAGGAGCTCCAGTTTTTTAGAGATTTATTAGTTAAGACACAATATACAATAATTTCTGCTTTTAGCTGCTAGAGTTTTAAATAATGGTATTTGTTAATGTGAGGATATATCTTTGTACTGAAGCTTAAAATATAATACTAATTTAGCAAAATAATTGTACTGTATTGATCTGCCATTGTTTTAGTTACTATTTATGAACAGAAAATAAGATTATGTTGGAAAGATTTCTGGGAGAATTCTCTATTAAGGAGCTTTCAAGAGGAGCTACAAGCTAGCTGGTAGGAAAGGAGATGTTGGAGAAAGTGGTATGCTATGTTGATTAAAATATAGAGCTAGAAAGGAGAAAGAGATAAAGATCTGTTACCTCTTTTGTTGTTTATTATTTATTTATTTATTTATTTATAACTCCAACTCATTTTTTACTTGTGCTCTTGTTCTGCCCTCTTAGCTTTTCCCTAATGAGCTTGCTGCCCTCCAGCAGCATCCTCAAGAAATGAGGTTCCTGCAAAAGGTGCTATAAATCCTTCTGAGTACTAGCAAATTAAAAAATATCCCTAACTTTTTCTCTAACCATAGAACAGAAGGTAAGGAGACACCTGCAAACCTAATGCAGATGCATCTACTTTGGACATAGGTGTCTGTGCTTTGCTGGTCTTAGCACAGCTTTAGAAGTCTGTAATTCCCACATTTCTGACTTTCTCTCTGTAAATGAGCTTACTGCCTTAATTTACTACTTTTGCTTCTGTTTTAAAGGCTATAATGTTGAGACAAAGAATGTAAGACAGACATTTTATTATCCCACCTAAAACAATTCCTTTGAATTTTAACAAAATAATATTTATATGGTATACAAATTCAAAATATTAATCAATGTGATTTGCTGAGAGTTTTGCATACTGTGTTCTTATGATGGAATGCTTAAAATGAAGCATAATATGACATACATGATGAGTCTTGAGGGTGCCTTTTTATAATCTGAGTAAATTAGACTTTAAAAATATGCTGCAGCTTTGATTTCCAGTTGTAAAATAATGAAGTCAGTGGTTTCTGTAGTGGGAAATCATTGCAGGTTTATGGAAAGTGGCAGCATTAATTTAACTTCATTCATTTTCCTTTTCCCTCATGAAACACAATGTATTTGATTCCAATTATTGATTAGTCAAATGTATGAGGAAAACCTTTATATTCTGTGATACAAGCAGTCGGGAATTTATTCAAGTGATGCACATTAACATGTGTGAGCTGTGTGCTGGTGTTGTGCTGTAGCCTATTGAAAACCAAACGGTTTTATGTGGTCAGTGTTGTCAGGAGTGCAGGTTTTTTCTGAAAGTTCACAAAAGCACAGCTATCCAAGGGCTTTGGTAATTCCTTAAGTATTTTCCATGGGTAGCA